TCGATAGAGCAACAACGGATTGCTTCTTGGAACACCAAGAAATAAGACCTCTCAAAAACTTAAATAAGTATCCATAAGTACTTCTTCTATCAACTATATCTCCACACCAATCAGAATCAAAGTAACCCATCAACTCTGAATCTGTCTTTCTTCCAGAAGAGAATAGTACTCCAAACTTCAAAATTCCCTTGATATACCTCAGGATCCTGACAGTAGCTTGGTAATAGAATCACTTAGGTTTACTCATGAACCTACTAACTAATCCAACTGCATAACAAATATTAGGTCTGATATTACACAAATACCTTAGAGAACCAACACACTATTTGAAGGTTGTAGCATCCACATCTTCATCATCAGAGTCAGAATTTAATTTATGATTGGTTTATGATGGTGTAACAACATCTTTACAATTCTGCAGTTTAAATCTCTTCAGAAACTCAAGTTCATACTTCAGTTGTTGCAAAATGATACCCTTCTCCGAGTACAAAATCTTCATCCCTAAAAAATATACCATATTCTCAGATCAGTCATCTTAAACTCATTTATCAACACCTCTTTGAACTTTATTATACTTTCTAGACAGCTTCTCGTTAGCAATATGTCATTAACATAAAGACATACCAGAATCATATCACCTCTAGAATGCTGCACATAAACTCCATATTTCACAATTCTGGAAACTTTGTTTCTTGAAAATGAATCAATCTTTAAATTCTAAGCTATGGGTGTTTGGTTTAATCCATACAGAGCTTTATGTAATTTGTACACCATCTATTCCATATTCTTTTTCATAAGTTCAGAAGATTGTGACACGTATACCTCTTTTTGTAAGACCGTTCAAAAATTCAGACTTCACATACAGATGCATCAGAGGCCAATTTTTATTTGCAGCTAAAGCAATCATCAATTTGATTCTTTCATGTCTAGCTAGAGACGCAAACACCTTAAAATAATCTAGCCCAAGTTTCTGAAGAAAACCTCTAGCCACTAGCTTTGCTTTGTGATTGCCAATTGATCAATCTAACTTATATTTGACCTTGAAAACCCATCTGACACTGATGGCTTTCTTTTTATCTGGAAACTTATTCAGCTTCCAAGTCTTGTTTCTTTCTATAGCCTCAAGTTCTTCTTTCATGGCATTCATCCATACTTTCTTCTTGAGAGCTTCTTCAATACTCACAGGTTTAGAGTTTACTAACATGACACACTGAACAATTTCTCCTGAATCTACTTCAGTGTCTTGCAACATGTTAAACTCTGCAAACCTTTTTGGTATTTATCTGATTCTTTGTGACCTCTGAACTCGTTCAGAAACTCTTTCTGATTTTGGAATAGTATCAAATACTTGACCACCTTCAGAAGTTGAATCACCTTCAAAACCTCTACCTTCTGAAATTCCACCTTCAGAATCATGACCTTCATCAGAGGCTGGACTACCTTCAGAAGATCCTCCTTCAGAAGGTCCACCGTTAAGGATGTGATTTTCACCAAAAACATGATCATCTTCACAAGCTTGTCCTCCCGAACATACGTCTTCAGAGTTTTCTCTTCCAGAAGCATGATCACTATCAGATTCTGGATCATCATCAAAATCTGTATCAGAATCAGATTCACCATCTGACTCATCTTCAGAGTTTCCAGAATCATCATCTGACTCTGACTCTTCTTAAGAACTGTCAAGTTCTGGCTTATCTTCAAAAATAAATTGAGACTTGCCACACTCTCATATTTTTGATCATTTTACAATGACGTCTCTGTTGACTTCAACATTATTAGTTTATGGACAATAAAGATTTTGTGCACATGTACTATAATACCCCACCAGAATCATTACTTTGCTTTTATCATTTAGTTTCTTTCTTCTAGCTTCTTGAACATGTTTATAACATGCAAAACCAAACACCTTCAGATACTAACATTTTGCTTGTCTCTGGTCTACTTTTCTAGAGAAACAATTTCCTTTAACTACTCCGTTGGACATCTATTGAACACATACGCTGAAAATGGCTACAACTTCTCCCCACAAATTATGAGATAACTTCTTTTCTTTCAACATATATCAAGGTTATAAAGAACAAAGAAAATACAAAAAATTATATTTAAAAGAGCAAAGAGAATGACGACGGTAAAAACTGCAAGAGGAATAATATTATTGTTATATTTATGACATTTACAATTAGTCTATTTATACACACACAAAATATTGCATAGACCCTAATAAAATAAACTTAATAACTAAATTATCAAAAACAATTAGAAATATTAAAATATCTTTATGAACTTAATAGTTCATAGATGACTGAATATTGAGTTAATTGAATGTACAAATATTGCAAAAATCAAACAATGACACCTATCCCAACATTACTCTGAATTTTTATTACAGGGATTTAAATCTAATGTATTTATTAATTAATAAATAGCCTCTGTTTGTGATATTTGAAAGTTTATTGTGTTGGACTTTGAAAGTTCGACAGAGCCTCAAAGTAAATGAACGTCTACAAATATATTTTCAGATCACACATCAACCGCAAAAATCAACTTCTTACCTATTGATCCAATCTACCTCAATTTTTGTGTTTATGTTAGTATATGATTATTATTTTGCCCTATAATTTTTGCTATCTATCTAGAAACATTGTCGGTTTCATGTACCACATTTATATGTGAGATTATTATTTTCTTTTAATTGTAGCAACATAGGTAGTACCGTTTACTTTTTTATATATTTTCGTTTAATCTTATTATAATTGTAGCATCAGATGACAATTAATGGAATTTTAATTATGAAATATTATAATTAATGCCAATTACAAATTTTTAGCAATTCAGTTATCTAATGCCCCAAAAAATTTAGCAATTGAATTATCTACTGCTCAAAAATACTATGACACTCTAACTGTGTAGGTGATCCAGTTCCGTAGGTAAGGTAGACATCTGAAACTTTACTAAAACAATATACCTGCTGTTCTTTCACAATTCGTGCCTACTTTGTTGACAGTTCCCTTGTAAAGTAGAATAACTCATTCCCCATTCTTAAACAACATGTGTACAACACAACAAGCCAACCAAATAGTAATAAATTACAAGGTTGACATTACATCACACAAAAATGAACCTAAAAACATGTCTTGTGTAGGACTAGAAGAGCTCAACAATAGGTTATATACCCTGGATAAAAGGACATCTGCAGCAGGATAACACAGATAACATATGAAAGTGCCCAACCTAAAGTTTAGAAGTATAGCTACAACAACAAACAAAAAACACAAATAGTATTATATTATATTAAAATAATGATAATATTATTAGATTTTGATATCTTTCAATGGTCATAGACGACGAATTTGAACAATACTGATCTTCAACCGTCACAGACGACTACAAAACAGCACAGCAGTTCAAGGAAACGACTACAAAACAGCACAGCAGTTCGAGGAACGTATCGGGGTACTAGATAAATCGGGGTACTACACCTTTTAATAGTACGCGATACTCATGAGTCATGCTTCAGAGAAGATAATCTAGATCACCAACCTGTTACTGGCAAATTAAAAAACTCTGATAAATCAGCATATATAACAAATGAAGAGGTACTACAGAACCAGTGTATTGAAATGGAGGCTGAATGTGCAAATGTGAGTCAGAGGTTGTCAAGCATTCAAGTATTAACATGCTTCTGAAATCAATGTTTCTCCATTTAGCAAAAAATTTAGAGTAGATACTTTTGACATTATGGGTAGATGTGGACTGCTACTCAACTTTCCCAAATAAACTGCTTTTACTGTAAAGATACTGTCAACATGTCAAGCTGCCAAGCTAATTTACTACGCATCTATCAAAAGAAAAAAAGATATTGCAATTTGGTAATATATATTAGAACATCTTATTAAAGAGAAGAATTGCAATTTGCTAATATATAATAGAACATCTTCTATAATAAATTCAAGAAATCTATTACTAGGTGAAAAGGTATAAGATCAGTTCAACACAAGTATACTATAACCAAGTGACATATCACAATCACAAAATGAGGCAAAAAAAACAAAAACAAATATCTAATGGTAAGAACTACCAAATAGAATTCACTGCAGTCAGTTTTTGATCTCATTCATGCATTTAGAACAATTGATCATTGAAATGAGATCAGACAATCCAGATTTCAAATGCATTTGGACTGTCTGATTTCAATCCAACAACCAAGTTGTATAGGATGTGGAAACTTAAATACTGACTGCAAGGAATCCTGGTCTAAAAACTACACCAGCAATTTTAAAGATCAATTCATAATATTTAAAGTATACAAAATATTCTTTTGAATAATTCACCAAACTTCAAACCAATCTATTAAAAACAGAAAACAATCACCATCAATTGCTTCAACTCAGGTACTGCCAATTGCTCAATTCGGGATGAATTCGAGAGTCAAAACCAATCCGCCTAAGCATGACTTCCATTCCTGCTTAATATCCAATACAACACACCAAATATTATCTCATAAAAACTCTGAAAATAACAAAAACTATAATTAACACAAGCAGAGCATTGGAACCTTCAATGGCATGCAGACTAATTCAGCCGCAAATATAACAAAAATTGTTTTTCCAATGTGAATTTAATCAAACATTCCCAATACCTAATAAGAAAACAAAAAAATCCACAATTGGAATAGATCAAATCTATCATCCACTTATAAACAGAAACATCACATCAAAATCCATTCAATCAATAAGAGGAAACAAGTCAAATCAAATCAAAATCCATAACAATCTGAACCAAAAACTTTCTTTCTCAGATTCGGAAACTACAAATCAAGATCTATATAACCAATAGCACCAATTAGAGTTAAATTAACAAATCATACGAAACATGTTGGATCTGATAAGGAGTAAAACAATTAACCATTCCAATAAAAAGTATAAACACTAAATCGAGATCTGAGCCGCCGAAAAAGAACATAAAGCTTCGCCGGTTCACTGCGGCCTCCGATTCAGTTGATGCAAGGCGGGATCCAATTCTCCTCCGCTGATTGTTCCGTCATTACGTACAAAACCTGCGGAAACAGTGGTTCCCGACCTGCACCAAGCGAATTAGAGATCGCAAATGAGAGATTCATGATCGTCTTCTTCTTCACAGAAAACCACCATATATTTTTCTCTTTCTCTCTTGATTCTAGAGAGAGAAAGTTAGAAAGGATAACTAAACTAAACCCACTCACACGAATCTAAACCCAAAAACGAACCCACCGAAAGTGGTGAAGATTGAGTTAACAAGAGGTTATTTATAAAGAGGACAGACGAAGGAGATGCTGACACGTGGAGATATGTTTGAAGGTTGATGGATTTTTTCTAAAGGATGACGTGTTTTTATTAATTTTTTATTTAATTTATAAATTTAAAATTTAAAAATAGAAAAAGTAATTAAAAAGTTAAAATTTTGTGTTATTTTTAGAATAAATATTTTCATCCTTATCAAAATCAAAAGTTGGGTTGAATATTGATATGTATATATTAATATATTAATTAGATGACACAATTCAAAGAATATAAAATCAAATTAATGATTTTATTAAAAGTTATTCTTTAATTTTAAATTATATACTCCTTCTATTTTAAAATAATTATCGTTTAAAGTTTTTCTATATAAATCAAGAAAAATAATAATATTATCATAAGATATTATATTTTTACAAAATTGATTTTATTAATATATTAGAAGTAATATAGAGAATAAAAAATAAATGATATAATTGAAAAAATAGTACCTCTATTTAAAATATGTTGTCTAAAATTTGTGCACACTGATTAAAGAATGTAATAATACTGTCATAAAATATTACATTTTATTAAATTAATTTTATTAAATGTTGAAAGTAGTGTTACAGATTAATAATTGAAAGACATAATTTGAAAAATTAAAATAATTACTATATTGAAAAATGAAAATGATATTTATTTGATATAATTTTTTTTTCTTAAAATGACACTCATTTTAAAACGGAGAGAGTAATTATTACTACATCGAAAAATAAAAATGACAATCATTTTAAAATAAATAAAAAATGATAATTATTTTGAAACAGAAAAAATAATATATTAGTTGTTTCACATAATTAAAAAAAATTATTTAATTTTATAAAAGAAATAACAATTGAATTTTCAGATATTTTTTATTAGTGATTAAAAAATTAAAACTAAAAGAGTATATAATAATAAATATAAAATAAAATGAGAAAATAAATATTGTTTTTGAGTATTTATTTCAGACTTGATATTCGTATGAACTGTGAAGGACATAACAAATTCTCTGCAATATAATCGGTCAAGGGCATACTAATTTCACTTTTCATCAATTTCTTATTCAAAACTGGAATAGTACAGTTTTTTTTTTATACATTTAAATAAATGTGTTTATTTAGTTGTTCAATATGTGCAACATGGTATTCTTTTACTATTTTAGTAATTTATTATGTTTCTCTCTTATTTACATTTTCAAATGAATATTAGATGTTGGATATTTCAACTCTCAACTTTTAGATTAATATTATTCAACGTTTTATCAAATAATAATTAAATAAATATTAACATTTTATTAAGTTGATAAGACGATTTATATTTAAGACAAATTTTATTTTGAAAAGTAAGAAATTCAGGACAGAAGAAAACAAATTGATATTTTTTTCAAACAGATTTTTATTTTAATATGACAGTTTTAGAATTGTACAAAAAAAGATTTAAAAAATAATAATAAGGCACACATAAAAGAATGGTATAAAAATCTTAATAAAAAAATGAATATCAATATTTTATTGATATATAAAATAATATACAATAAACATACTTTTTTAGAAAAAACCGAATACAAAAAACATAACTTAAAAGAATTATATATTACAATATTATAATTTAAAAAGTTTAATAGAGATGTATTGAGAGTGGTAAAAAAAACTTTATATTATCATCTAATGAGAATATATAACTATGTTATGCCATATAAATATTTAAAAATTTCAGTCTGGCAGAATACATAATTATATTGATTGATAGTGTAAAATTAATTTACACTATATGTGCATCATTCTTTTTCATTATTTAAATATAGTTTAAAGAATCAATCTTTAGTTGGTTCAGTGGTGATTGACCTTAAATTTGGTAAGAAGGATTAAAGTTCAATCTTTAAGTGGGGGTTACCAAATTAGTGAAGTCATAATACATGGTTTAGTATATGGTTTAGTTAACCATTATGCTTTCATTATGTTTGTGTTGAGCCAGGTTGTATGATGATTGTTTATTGTTAAAATCAGGAAACATGTCTATTGGCAACATACCTCGGTCCATTGACAACTTACCTGATTCTTTATGTCTTACAAGTATAATTCATTGTTACATTTTTACCAGACTCTTACATGATGCACAATTTTTGCTTTACCTACGGGATACCTAACTATGTTTGACCTTTATAGAGAATAATCACGATCATATGTGGCATCTTACTTTAATGGATGTATCCACTCATTCAGAGGTACTAAACTGGGTTTTCTTCATTTTCAACATCAAACCTTGCAATGACTAATATTATGTGTCTTCTCAAAACATTATTGCTTTTTTGCTTAGTAATTTATTTTATTTATTGAAGGTGGCAGCTAAGTTTAAGTGTGTTGTTCGAGTGGTAACAGCCATACCATACCAAGGTGAAAAGTTATGCACGTCTGCTGAGAGTATATGATGAGACTGACCCTAGAGGATCCAACAACTAGAATCTTTGTAGTTGATGTAGTTCATCATATTTAGGATATTTGGCATCAATACTTTTCTAATGATTTATTACTTATTTTTTATTTGTATATGTGTCTGATCCTTTTTCTGATTTTAAATGCATGACATGAGACTCTTTTTGATGGTTATCCTAACAGTACTTATGTGAAAAGGAAATTAAATAGATTACTTGGAGTAACTGAATATGATGATAGTGTTGTTGTAAATGATAGGCCAAGAAATCCACCATGGGTGAGTGTTTGTATTAAATCGTACAATGTCTCCAAAATGGATGTATAAGGAAGTAGAAACTTTAGAATATTTGACACCAAAATAGTGGATGGCCTTTGATATGTCTTTCCCTTTTGCAAGACACAACGTCTTGAGATGAACACTATATAATAAATTGTAAGATATGCATCTATGTCATGGATATATAGGATATGTATATAATCTATGCAAATTCCCTCTCTCTCTGTCATGGATATATAGGAATGTATATAATCTACGCAAATTCTCTCTCTCTCTTCTCTCTCTCTCTCTCTCTCTCTCTCTCTCTCTTCTCTCTCTCTCTCTCTCTCTCTCTCTCTCTCTCTCTCCTCTCTCTCTCTCTCTCTCTCTCTCTCTCTCTTTCTCTCATGGATATATAGGATATGTATATAATCTACGCAAATTCCCTTTCTCTCTCTCTGTCATGGATATATAGGATATATATATAATCTACGCAAATTCCCTCTCTCTCTCTCTTTGTGTCATGGATATATAGGATATGTATATAATTTACGCAAATTCCCCCCCCCCCCCCTCTCTCTCTCTCTCTCTATCATGGATATATAGGATATGTATATAATCTATGCAAACTCTCTCTCTCTCTCTCTCTCTCTCTCTCTCTCATCTCTCTCTCTCTCTCTCTCTCTCTCTCTCTCTCTCTCCTCTCTCTCTCTCTCTAATCTTCCATTTAAATTGATTTGAAGAATTGAAGCTTACTATGATTTCTCTCTTCTTTGATCAAAAGGATTGGTTTTTCAACCCAATCTGAACTTTAAATAACTGAACCTAAATATAATTCTTTATTCCAAACTGGTAACAGTTGATTGAAGTGGCTCATTATTTCAACCCAAATTGAACTTGAAATAAATCAATGTATTTTTCCCCTCATTCAGGTTGGTTACTCATTCTATTATGTTGTTATCATTTTTTCCATTTCATTCCTTTTCACTTTTCACTACTCTCTAAGGCTATCTTTGTATTCGTCTACGAGAAATTGGAAAATATCAATGTTCCAAGCTATCTTTGTCATCTGGTGTGATGAATAGAGATGATAATGCAAAATCACATCATTAATCGAATGAAATTGTAAGAAGGATGAGGTTGCAGAAAATACAGGTACTAAAAAGAAGGTTGATTCTGACGATGAATGAAATAAATGTTGATTCTGTCAAATTTTCTTAATCACAATTGTACTAGTTTCCAATATCTTATAATATTGTTTGATGTGTCAAAAAATTTGTGCAAATATGTTGTAAATTTGTTATTTGAAGTGATAATATACTTTATTTATATTTTCTTCAGCTCAATGCAGATTGATATTTTAATTATGTAAAGATTGTATCAAATAAGCGTATTATTTTTACAAATATTTGTAAATACTACTTTGATCAATCCATAAAGATTGGTACATATTATCAATCTATATTTATAATTATGTGAATGATTATGGATTTTAAAACAAGTTTCAAAGTTGACAAATGAGATATCATGACATGTAATATGAATCTAGGGGAACCCGTGTGATAGCACAAATATTTTACTAAGCTATACAAATTGATATTTCTAGAAATTTCCTATATGTTTACAGCTAGACCATAATAGAGAGTCATTATATGGTATTAATATGGGACAACTAGCACACTAATAGCTATTCATTTCTTCTAAAAATATTTCTTCTGTAATAATTACATTACAATCATTTTTATAAACGGGAATAAGTTATAAATATTTTTATAAACTTGAATTTTTTTACTGTTGATACAATTATTTTTGTAAACAAAAATAAGTTACAAATATTTTTATAAGCACACATGGGTTCTAAGCACTTTTGAAGTTTATATAACTACGTACTATTAAATGTTTTATTCATGTTACCTTTGTTTTGAATTCAGTTTGAATAAAGGAATCACAGTTGGTGGATTATACTAGCTTTATGTTTGTAATTTTCTAAATGCTAACTGTTATACCCCAAAATTTGCCTCCATATTCCTCAAGAAATTGCCAAGCCAGGTCACAAAATTCCCCAAGGGTTGTGCAGCTCAACTGTTTCCTATACAGTCAAAACTAGGGTTTAGTGTTCTGATCAAGAATTGAAAGTGTTCAAAGGCTCAATCAAGTCTCACATGCCTACAAAGATGGTCAAGTATCCTCATATCAAGTTTCAAGGCATTCAGCTCAAAATTGCACAGTCAAAACCCTAAATT